TGCGCTGAGGGGCGCAGGGCCAAGCAGGGGACCCCATGGGACAGCGTGCTCTGCACAGGGACAGCGCAGGGCTCGCAGGCAGTGCTGGCAGAGCTGCTGTGCATGGGGCCAGCGACATGCCAGCAGTGCCGAGGGCTTCGCTGTGACCTGGCGCAGCGGCTTGCGGCCCAAAGCACACGTACAGCAGTGGCCAGGGTCTTCTCGTTCCTCTGGAGAGTGCAGAGCCCGGAGGAGATTTCCAGCAGGGTGACGGTGCCCAGCTTCGAGCCGCAGCCAACAACGCACCCGTTGTCCTGCAGGCGCAGGCTGGAGAGGGGCTCGTCGCAGACCTGGGGAGGGAGGACGGGTGGGTGCTGGCACTTAGCCCTGACGTGATGCCCCACGGGGGAAGTCAGGCAGGATGAGCTGACAGAGGCAAATCCATGCGCTTGCCAATAAGAGGAGCTTATGAGTAAATTTTTGGGCACGCTGGGCTGTAGGCACAGCTCAGGGCTGAGGGGATGGCTGCTGCTTGATGGAGCTTATCCCGAGCTCTGCGCAGGCAGGATGGGACTCTGTCCCCTGGCTCTGCCTGCTCTGCGCAGGGCAGGGCAGATCTGCCAAGCACCCTGCTGCCGGCGCTGGCCGGGGGCAGCCCCCGCTCCCCTCCCAGGGCGAGGGACCCGGAGCCGTCAGGGACCCGGAGCCGCTGGGGACCCAACCTTCAGGCTGAGGGAGGGGTCGTTCTGCTTGAAGAGAAAGTCCCAGACGTCCAGGGTCCCGTCCGATCTGGTGGTGAAGAAGACGGCCGGCCTCACAGTGCTCCAGCACCCGTCCGTCAGGTAGGAGAGGTGGTACCTGCCGGCAGACCCGACGCAGCGGGGATGGGCTCGTGGCCTCCATCCTCCTGTCCCCATGGCTGCTGCCTGTGCAGCGCCTTCAGCCAAGAGCCCAGACCTGGGCACCCTCCGTTCCAGTGCCCTCAGCCAGGCTGGCACTGCTCTGCCTCGGTGACCGTCCCACCACCTCCTGCCCGACCTGAGCAGACCAGACCCTGCTGCTCACCTGCACGGAACCCGCTCTTCCACAAAAAAGGTTTTTTGCAGGGCAAACACACCGACACCTACTTGGTCCACATAATTGACGATTCCTTGGTCTCCTCTGACCAGATTCGAGCAGTCCAGTCGCCGACCGTCAGGAAGATTTTGGGGTAGAAAGGGTTCCTGGCCAGCGCATAGACAGGTCCGTGGTGGCCACTGTAGGTGCTGGTGATTTTTTCGGGGGGTGTCTTGGCCTTGCGGTTGCAGGCGATGACGATGCCCTGCTCTGTGCCCACCATGAACTTGGTGGGCTGAGGGCGGGAGCAGGAGAGAGCAGCCGTCAGCAGGCTGGGGACCCCATGGTGCAGGGGGCAGTGGGGCAGCAAAGGGCTTTGCTGTCTGAGCAGGGGGAAGCCTGCTGCAGCCAGCACCTGGGGAGAACGGAGCCCTGGGACCCACCATGATCTGGGGGATTTAGAGACCGAAATGCCAGCAAGACCCTGTGTTTTGGGAGAACATCAACTCTTAATTCTTAAAGATGGGTGAGAACATGCTGCAAGCTGCAGCATGGTGCTCTGGGTCACTCTGGGCATCAGACGCTTGTGCTGTGCCCCTGGAGCCCTGCCCACGGGGGTTTGGCTCGGTTTGGCTTGGCTCACACTCCTGCCCAGGTGAGGATACTGGTTGTGTGCAGGCAGGGTGATCCCGACGGCAGGGCAGAGAGGCTCACCATGGTGGGCTCGAACTCCAGAGTGACGGCACCCAGAGCGTTCTCCAGGAGCCCTTTCCGGGTGACATCCAAGACCAGCGTCTCGGTGGGCTCAGACAGCTTGCGGATGTCCCACCACAGGACCTGCACGGGACAAGCAGCGGGAGGGGGCTGCAGGGCAGGGGCTGCTCCTGGCTCAGCCACGGGTGCTGGGGAGCCGATTGCCCTGGAGCGGACAGGACAAGCAGCGGGAGGGGGGGGCAGGGGCTGCTCCTGGCTCAGCCACGGGTGCTGGGGAGCCGATTGCCCTGAGGCCAGGCAGCTGCCCTGTGCCAGCCCGTGCTGCCAGCCCGGGGGCCTGGTTCCCCCGCTGCCACGGCTGGCGAGGGGCAGTGCAGGCAGGGGAAGCTCTTTTGGGCTGTCGGCGCCTGCCAGTGTGGCCCCTGTGAGTGCCTAGCACCCTTCCCTGCCCCTGCCCTTTACCTGTCCGTCGGTGGAGGCTGAGAAGCACTCGGTGCCCGTTTTGGACTGCAGCCAGATGGCTCCGTACACGGGGTCCCTGTGGCTGACCTCCACGGTGGACACCTCCACGGGCAGCCCCCCTTTCCTGGTGTCCCAGTAAGCTGGGAAGGAAAAGGAGCTGTCAGGATCTGCACCAGCTCCCTTGTCTGGCTCCTTTGCTTGCCACGCGTTTCCCAAGGAGATGCTGCCCCACTGCCCAAGCCAGAACGGGGAGCAAACCTCACCGGGTGCTCCCCCCGCACTTCCCAGCCCCAGAAGAACCATGCACATGCCCCGTGGGCTGGGAGCCTGCTGCTGTGATCACTCGCAGGGATGCCTGCTCTGAGTGCTTATGCAATTTGCATCTTCTGCAAACGCCGAGCTAGATGGTGGAAACACACTAAATGGCCGCAGAATTTCTTCAGCTATCATCTCTCTCCGGCAGATGCACTACAATCCCCAGAGACAATAAATCCCCCCGGCCCCCCCTGTTCTGCACAAGGGGTTGCAGCAGGACCAGACATGGTCTAAGCAGCCCCGAGCCCCCTGTCAAGTCCAAACAGCGGCTCTTACACTCAACGCTGCTAAAAGCCAGCCTGTGTGACCTGACCCCGGCTGTCCTCCCCTCCTGCATGCCCGAAGGGCGCTGGCTAATGAAGGCAGGTCCCCCGTGGACAGCAGCAGCCGTCCTTCCCTATCTCTGCCTCTGACACACAGCAGAGGGCAAGCCACAGTGCAGGACCGGCCACGGTTCAGCAAAGGTTAGGCGGCTGGGCCGTGGTGGCACCAAGCCGCATGCGCTCCCTCTTGCTCACTTCTAATTAGGCAATTGGATGTGACGGAGTGTTCTCCGCTGGGCCTGCGCCACGCGCCTGGGGAGCGCTGCGAAGGATGGGGCGAGATCCCTCCCCTCCATCACCTGCGGAGCGTGCAGTAACAGCCCCGTAATGCATGCCCTGTCAGATCTGATTGCTGCCGCAAATGGCAAGGAAAACATCAAAATGAGTGCAATTAAATCAAAGGGCTCACGTGGCCAAGTAAGTAACAGGGCCGTAAATGAAGCTGGCGAAGAGGGGCCCTTTTCCAAGCACTTGAAACAACAGCACAAGAACAATTCAGTGCACGAAACGATGGCAACTCTCCTGGGCTTTTGCCATGCAAAGATACGGAGCCGTGGGCAAGGCGGGAGCACAGCACACGTGCTGCTCAGCCATCTGATCCAGCAATCCCTGCCGGGCTCTCGCTGTGGCCACAGCCGCCTCACTGCCCCGAGTGCCTGCGAAGGGCTCCCAGGCACGGTGTCCTCCCCTCCCCTGGTACCTGCTCAGGTGAGCACATGCCCGTCCTCCACATGCCAAGCCCCAGGGCTTCAGGCCGAGCTCGGGATATTCCCAGCCACAGCACTAATGACGTTACATCCTTTGTGAGTGTAGCAGTGCTGGAACCAGGCTCCTGCCGAATTAAAATGAAGCCAGGCCCTCATTAATACGGCCTCACGCCTAATCCATCTTCCTTACCCATCTGCCCGTTGTAGCATCCTCCCACCAGGACGTGTGAGTCTTTGGGGTTGTATTCCAGGCTCACGAGAGGGGACGACGGCTTGAGAACGAGCTCCGGCTTGTTGGGGTTTTCTGCCAAGAAGGGATGAGTAAAGAGCAAAGTGCAAAGGCAGTCCGGAGGGCGAGCACCCCCGCCTCTAAATCAGCCTCCCAATACTCGAGCACCCCCGCCTCTAAATCAGCCTCCCGATACCGCACCCAGCTCCTCCACGCCTGGCTCCCTGCCATGCCGGTGCTTGCCCAGCCGTGCTGGATGAGGTGGCCATGTCACCAGGATGCCTCACCTTAGCCAGGGAAGGGAGCTGACCTGTCCTCGCCTGCCAGCCTGGGGCCAGACCCCTGGTACCCCAACCCCTCTTCTTTGTGTTTTTCACTCCAAAATACAACAGGCCTGAGAGTCTTTGACAGAACAGGGCAATTGTCAGCCTGGGCTTGTGCTGCCTCTTTCTTAATCAAGCACAAATGAACCATATAAAGATAGAAACCACATAAGAGGAGTGTGGCTCAGCTGCCTGTTGTGGTCACAGGTGCTCTAGCTCATTTTAGTGGTTACTTTCCACCTGTTGGCTAGCTTTCAGGTCCCATTTCTCCCCTTCTCTGCATTGATCTGTGGGCAAAGCAGAAACCGAACCCTTCTTCACCCCCTCTGGAGAACTGTGAGGCTTCATTACACTCTTTGAAGACACAAAGTGCTTCCGCAGCATTACTGACTGGTGAGTTTTCCCTTCCCCTTACCAAGATCCCAGATGTACGAGTCAAAGCTCATGTCTTTTGTGTTTTGTTGGAACTCCAGGCTGGAATAAGCCACTGCCAATTTCTTGCATGTGTCAGGGTGCCAGGAGAGATGCGTGGCCGTCCTCTTGGTTATGTTTGGATCCCTTTTTGATAACAGGACATTAAAGAAAGATGTTAGTTTGCTAACAGCTTTGTCATGCCCTGGGATGACTGTCTCCCAAAGGAAACTGTGGGAATCACAATTAAAACAAGCTGCAGCCCTTGAGCATTGAGTGCAGGAAACAATTCTCTTGGGGGTTGGGCGAGGGGAGAAGAGTTGATGATTTAATAAAGTCTTTCCAGTTAAACATTTCTAAGAATCCAAGTATGTTACTGGATCTGACTTCTAGAAATGACCTAACAGCCCCTGACATTTGAAAATAATCTTTGAGGCACCAAAAAAAAAAAAAAAAAAATCCTGTCTAAAGCACTGTTAGAAGTTGCTCAGAGCTGCGTCTGTCCTTGGACCGTGGTACCTATCTCCAAAGTGCCTGGGCTGGGTGGAGGGGAGGAACAGACGGAGTTATGGAGCGGGGGGGCTGCAGCAGGTCTCTCCATCCGTAAACTGATCCAGCACTATCCTAAAGCCACCGGGTTTTCCACCTCCTTTGTCTCCAAAGACAGTTTAATAAGCAGTAGCCCGCTGTGGATCCGGACAGCCTGGTGAGCCCAGCTGGTTGTGGTACCTGATGACATTGATGGTTTTTGCGGAAGGGGGCTCGTCTTCCACCTCTGCCACCTCCTCCTCTCCAAAGTACTCCTCATAGATGTTGATGGCGTTGTTCTGCTTGACGCAGTGCTCCATCAGCTGTGGGGAAAGCACAGGCAGA